CCTGGACAAGGTCCTGTGCAGCCTGCTGTAGGTGACCCTGCTTCGGCAGGAGGGTTGGACTAGATGACCCACAGAGGTCCCTTCCAACCCCTGCCATTCTGTGATTCTGTGAAATGGGTTCCACAAGGAACTGTTGAATATTGGCTGTTACTTAGTTGAAGGAAAGGCGAGGGGAACGTGACAGCAGACTTTGAAAATCTAAAAATTTGCAGCCAGACAGAAGGGGAGTAAACAGTCCACCTCCTTTGGGGTTGGAGATACGGCTTAAAAGACAACGCGGGAAATCCGCTGGACAGGAGGGATGCTTGCTGGAGATGCCGTGTGTGGAACTGATCCTACCCAGGGACCCGAGGATGGACTAGGTGGCTGCGTGAAGCTTCTGGCACTGCTTCTAGTGAGGAGCGTGCTGCCGAAGTGTGGAATGGCCGGTGCAGCTGACCTCATCTATTAAATGTAATCGATTATAACAATAGTTAATTTAATGAGTGTGTGTATTTAATGCTTTAGCAATGTGCATCCTTTGACTCAGGCATGCACACAGCTAATAGGAGATTAAATCTCGTTGCTGCTAACTGCTGCTCTAGGTGTAACACGGTTTTGGTCAAGCCTTTACGTTTGGAGTAAAACGGCTGCAGGTTGCCGGGGCGGATGCAGGTACCGGATAAATCTGAAGAGAGCGTTAGCAGTGACTTACTGCTGCGTGGTGCTGCTGCTTTTTTTTTTCCCGGCTCAACAGGAAACTTCCTACTCTTATTCAGTAAATTGAAGCAGGTGAATACAAGTAAATGGTCATACTGGGTGTCCTCTGAGTTTCACTGATAGACAGCTATGAACAAATTTGGGTAGCATCAGAGGAATTTTAGTGATTTGCTTATTGTACGGAATGATGCTCTTGGGTATCGCTGGTGATGCTGAAAGCAGTGGGGAATCCGAAAGGGTGGTTGGAGCAGAAGTCGAGCCCCGCAGCCGTTGCTGGCAGTCCCAGGGGTTCTGAGCCTCGTTGCCACAGCTCCCGTCCTGCCCGGTGTGGGAAGGCTGGTTTTCTGCACGCTCCCCACTAGCGTCTCTCTGCAGCCCGAGCTGCTGAGCTGGTCACATGCTGATGAGCTTGTTTTTAGACTGTAGCCTATTACACCACAAAACGAACTCATTTCATAAACTTTCTTATTTCTTTTTTTCTTTTTGCTTCCACTGAAGAGTGAATTTTTGACCTCACTTTAGTAAGCTTGGGGAAGAGTTACAGTAAAAGGTAGGTGATAATTGGGGTGAACCGTGCAGGGCGGGCGGGTGCAGCGGCGCGCTGTATTTCTGTGACCGAGCCAGCCATCTGCGGGCATCCCGGGGCCTAGGGAGGCAGGGGGTGCAGCCTGGCTTTTGTGGAATGTGGATCTTACCTGCTGGGGAGTGAACACCCCGCCAGCTTACCTCAGCGTCTGCAGAGCCGTAACGGCTGTGACATGTTTCGATGGCTTTCAAGCTCCCGCACGCCGTGGATCGTGCACAAAATTCCTACTGTGGATTTGGGGCGGGGAGGGGAAGATGATTCACATCTTCCTAGTTGCCTCCGATGCTTGGTAATTAAAGGCAGTCTTTAATGAGACAAGATAAATGTAGTGGATGCAGTTGTTTTTTTTCTCCTTGGAAGTACAATCTCAAGCAGTGTCACACCCAAGGACGGACGGTAAGAAGCGCGTGCTCAGCGGCGATGTGTGGCACAGCTCGGACAGAGCCTCGGCCGGTGGCCGGCAGCATCTGAGTGCAAGAAGTCCTGCACGTTACTGGGAAGTTCATTGCAAACTGCTGTGCTTGAGAACTGTACTTGCTGTATTGTAATGAAGTTTTGCAAAAGGGGGTGGAGAAAAGGTTACCAAAAAATAGTGTGTCTTAGGAAAACGGGACATAAGTATCTTCAAACATCTTATGCGGAAAATGGCCGAGTATCTGGGTTTGGTGTTTGCTGGCACTTCTGCCTTTCCTTGGTTGGTATGAATTGAAGCACCTTCACTTTGCACTGCAAGGTACGGATGAATTCTCGTGGACGGTAACCTCTGGGCTGGAGGGGGGCAGCTTAGTGCCGAGGTGGTTGCAGTAACATGGCTGATAGCGCCTTGGCAGCATGCTGGAACCTAGCATTTATCTGACTGCTGCGGGAGCCGCAAGCTGCCTCGTCCCTGCGAGAATTTCGCCTTGTGCTAATTAGGACAGGCTGAGTACATTTTTCTTCCCTGGGTAAAGTAAGGTCTGACTGTGTCTGTCACCAGAAGGAGCATTGGGTGCTAGGTGGGCCTTGAGGTGGTCAGTGAGTTATTTGATTAAGGACATCTCTTCCAAGATTTGTGTTTCTGGGAAGGAAGAAGGCCCGTCCCCTAGTAGCAGCCTTTGTCGGAGGAAGGCTTAGGGGCAGGGTTGTCTTTTTGCGTGTTCTAATTTCTGCTTCGTTGCACTTGTCCCTTTGATTAGGTTTTTAATTAACCAGTCTGGTGCCCTCTTTGGGGGTCGCTAGCGATGCGTGAAGTGTTGCAGGGGCGGTCAGCATGGAAATAGGCTCTTTAAAAAGCGAGGGTCGATGCAATGGCGGTACCCACCGTAAGGGATGTTTTTGTTCTGGGGGTGCCAGTGAAGGGGGTGCTGCGTGTTCAGCCGCTGCGGAACCGTCATGTCCTGGTGGGGATCCCACAGAACAAGCTCTTGTCTCTCCTGTGCGTCAGCGGGCTCGTCATCAATTTGATCTGTGCTGAAGCACGGAACTGGAAGTAAATGGAAAGCTATTTGCATCAAGTTTGAACTTTTAATGTGAAGGCTGCTTTTCTCTTTTTAGTTCCACTAGAAAGCAAGGTGGTGCCTTCCTGCCCTTGTGTTTTAGCTAGGAAGCACTGTGTTAATCGAGACAAACACGCCCTCCTCTGAATTGTGCCCACAACGAAGGAAGAGTAAGGCATTGCACCTGAAATCAGCTCCCAAAGTGGGGGTAGCGAAGGGAGGGAAGGAGAGCGGAAAGCGGGGGGAGAACTGCCAGATTATTCGGAGAGTTGAAAATGGTACTCGTTCAGTGCTGCTTCTGTAAGAGGAAGCCTCTCGGAGTTGCACTCTTCCCAGAAATCCCTCCCGATTTTGTTAGCTTTGTGTGATGATTCACTCCTTGGTCCTCTGCTGCCAGGCTGCTTTTGGGGAGGCACGCTGCTTTCTGAGGGCTGCGAAGGCTGCGCGTGCCCTGACGCTCCTGTGGCGTGTGCCCGAGGAGAGTCTGCAGGCCTCTGGCCGAATGTCCCAGTGCCGCGTCTCCCGCTAGTCAGGGCACTGCTGGGCGGCAGCGGGGAAGCGACAAGCACAGAGCAGCGACGTGAGAGAGCTCGGGTGTGGGTACACGTGAAATGTGTGGTTGGAAATGACAAATGTAGAGAAGAGAGTTGCCGGAGTGTGTGCTGTTGGTGGTTCATTCCAGGGAAGGAAGCAGCCCTTCCCTCCCCTGTTTTCGGGCCAAGGAGGTTTCGGCACTGTACTTTCTGTAGCCTGTGAGCGTAAGGGCTGTTTTCAGGAAGTTTATCTCTGCTTTTTTTCATTTTTTATACCTGTTTTCCAACAGTCACTGTAATTAATGAAGCTTCTACTGCAGTACGTGTACTATGTTATTTCTTGAAAAACAAAACAACTCTGCCTATGCCTGTGTGACAAAAATGCTGTGTCACAAATAGGTGCACTGCAGTGCATCTGTGTTCTCTGTGCTGATGGAGGGATGTGCTGTAATGGAGAGAAGTGGGAAGCAATCGAACTGCTTTTGCTTCCCCTTTGGGGGTGTTGGTGGAAAGAGT